GGCTCTCTCAACAACCAGTACAGAGAGTCAGACTTTGGGCACCTTTTACAGTTAAAAAGGGCCCAAGACTTAAAAACACCCTGATAAAACGGAGGCAGCCCACTTAATTTTAAAAGTTTAGAATCAATTAAAAACAGAGCCGCATCCAGCCCCAGGAAATCTGCACGTCTGAGAATGCAGCTGGCCACATCTCTCCACACTAGATCAGCCGGACCTGTCAGATATTTTTGTAAGAACTGTAGTCTGAAGGTGGCTGTCCGGCTGGCCAGGTGGACGAGGCCCTGTCCCCCCTCCTCCCTGGTTAAAAACAGCACCCCTTGTGGCACCCAGTGTAGACCTCCCAAAAAAAATCTACCATTTTCTTTGTAGCTGGGCTAGCAAGCCTGAAGGGGGGTCTACACAGGTTAAAGGTGCCACAGTTGGGATGCCACAAGGTTGTTTAAAACCAATACTCTACCTTTAAAAGACATTTGAGGGAGCAGCCATTTCCACTTGGAAAGTTTCCCCTCAATTTTTTCTGTGACGCTCCCAGTTCTTCTGGACTATGTGTTCTTTCCCGAGGAAAACCCCCAGGTACCTAAACCATCTGTTCTCCAGGCCAAGCTCTGGGGAAGAACTGGGAGACCGTCACGCCACTCACCGACAGCGAGGGCTTCACTTTTTATCCAATTCACCCTCGCTGCCGATGTTACGCTAAAACGTTTTATAATGTTGGTTAAAATATCTGCATCCCTCTGGTCTTTAATAAAAACAACAATGTCATCGGCATAAGCACTTAAAAATGTTGCTATTAAAACCAGGTAAAACCAAGCCCTGTAGTGGTAGCGTATATTGTTAAGGAGGGGTTCCAGGGAGAGTGTGTAAAGCATGCCGGACAGAGCACAGCCCTGCCTGACGCCTCTACACACCCTGAAAGGAGCACACAGGCCGCCGTTAAACTTCAGCACACTCTCAACCCCACTGTACAACACTTGATCTTGGCTATGAACCCAGCGCTGAACCCAAACTTCTCCATAACTTTCCAGAGGAAGTTGTGTTCAACGCGGTCAAATGCCTTTTCCTGGTCTAGAGAAATCAGACCAGTGTTACAGCCCGATGAGCTGGAGACGTCCAAAACATCACGAATGAGGTGGACATTGTCCACCATGGACCTGCCGGGCACACAGTAGGTCTGGTCCCGGTGGATGACCTGCTCCATAGCCTTCCCCAGCCTGGAGGCAAAGAGTTTGGACAGAAGCTTGTAATCCACACACAGCAAAGACACAGGGCGCCAGTTTTTGATGTCCTGCAGGTTACCTTTTTTTGGGAGCAAGGTGATTACGCTCTCCTGCAGGACATGGGCATTGAGCCAGAGGCCAGACTTTCATTAAAAACATCTAAAAGATCTTCTGCAAAGATGTCCCAGAAGGCTTTATAAAATTCTACACTCAGGCCGTCTATGCCGGGAGCCCGCCGCCCTTGCATGCCCTGCAGAGCGGCCTTCAGTTCCTGCATCTGTAACGGCCCGTTGAGCTGTGAGTTTGTCTCCTCAGAGACCTGAGGCAGTCCATGACAGAACTCCTCCATCAGAGCTTCCTCCTCCTCATACTCACTTGAGTAGAGTGCCGAGTAAAAGCTCACAGCTCGCCTTCTTATCTGGCATGGCTCTGTCAATGTTTGCCCTGTGTCTGCTAAAAGTGAGTGGATTACCCTCCTCTGCCCACTCCTCTTCTCCAGGCCGAAGAAGAAACTAGAGGAAGCATCCATCTCCGTGATGGCTTGAAACCGGGACCTGACCAGTGCACCCTGTACTTTAACATCCAACAGGTCGGCTAAAGCTAGCTTTTTGACTTTGAGGATTTCAATATATCCTCGATTTGCTGTGGACTCGCTCAATCTTTCTAGTTCCACTATATCAGTCTCCAGGTCTTTCATAGATCTGGTGATGTCTCTGGTGACATTGAGGGTGTGCTGTTGACATAAAAGTTTAATCTCAGTCTTACCATGGTCCCACCACTGCCTAAGACTGTTAACTCACCCTTCCTCTGTCTAAAAACATCCCAGAAATAAATAAGAACCTCTTTAAAATGTTTATCAAATGTTAAGACTGAATTAAAATGCCAATAAGCACTTTTAGGTAAAATGTTTTGAATAAAAACATTACACAAAGTAAAGAATGGTCAGTAAAACCAGCAGGAACAATACTGCACATTTTAAAAATATTAAAATGATGCTTAAAACAATAAATACGGTCGAGTCTAGCTGAGGAGATCCTACTCTCTCTGAGGTGGGACCATGTGTACTGTCGGCAGTCTGCATGCATCCTTCTCCACACGTCCACCAGGCCATGAGAATAGACCAGCTGCCTCAGAACATGTTGGGAAACTGGATGCGGCTCTGCATGGTTGCGATCTAAAGATGCATTTTCTGTACAGTTAAAATCCCCACCCAAGAATAAAAAATCCTCCGAGGCACAGCCATTTAAAACATGGTTAACTTTTTGTAAAAACAGCTTCCTCTCTGCACCGATTGTTGGAGCATACACATTGATAAAAACTGCAGTAAAAAGGTCGAACCGTGCTTTAATTAAAAGCAACCTCCCCTCGATAAAATGCTCGACCTCCAGTGAAACCGGAGTGAAAGACTTGGAGAGGAGAAAGCCAACTCCTCCACTAAGAGAAGTGTTGTGACTTAAAATGACTTCCCCTCCCACTCTCTCCTCCAGTCTGCCTCATTGGTGCTATCACTATGTGTCTCCTGGAAATAAAAAACATCAATATGTTTCATTTTGGCCGTTTCATATATAGCTGCTCTTTTTTTTGACTCTCTGGCTCCATTTATATTCAAACTTCCCACTCTAAAATTATCCATAAGTGAGAAATTAAGAAAAAAATAAAAACAATAAATTAATTAAAACACACATTGGAGCTCTTCCCGTCATCATTGTTCAGTTGTTTTCTAACTTTGTTAGTGATGCCAGACTCCTCCTTTTGGCTCATGTGGAGTCTGGCCGAGTATAAAACAAACTTAAAACTGGGAAATGCTCTTCAACTTTAACACCTTTAGCATTTTTGGTTTTTGCTAAAAACGACTAATCATTTCTGCAGAGTAAAGTTTTTTCTGTTGACTGTTACTTATTTTAAATCCAGATATATCACTGCTATCAGAGACACAGTCATCACTTTCACTCTGTCTGTCCCTGTCCCCCTACTGTCTGTCTGTCCTCCTCCTCCTCCACTTTGCTATCTTTGCCTCATACTTTGTGCCTCTAGTTTTCCTTCTGCGTTTAGAAGCAGATTTGACCCTCACTGCCTCCTCTTCCTCCTCCTCCATCTCAGCCTCTTCCACCTGTTCCCCCCATGTAAGTTTACTGTTCCCCCACCTGCCTCCTCTGCCTGTGTTTCATCTTCCTCCTCTGACATACCCTCCTGCACTTCACTGACCCCACTTGCTTTATTTATCTGTACTTCACTCACACTTTTTCCAGCTGTTTCTTCCCCCTTTTCTTCACCCACCTCACTTTCCACCACATCACCCAAAACCTCTCCTTCACTTCCCTGATTGTTTTCACCCACACCGTGCACATCATTCATACTCACCACCCCGTGCTCCAGGTCAGACACAGCAGCGGCGAGGCGCGGCGCGCTCCGCGGTGCCGCTCTCGGCCGCTGCAACCGGCGGAGCAGCGGAAAGCCCCGCCACAGGGCCGGGCGTCACCCCACGGCCAGGCGGAGCCGGATCCCCTTGTCTCGGACAGGCCTTCACGGTGTGTCCCTCCTCACCACAACCAAAACACTTCATAGCCGACGAGGTGGCAAATATCACGTAGTCATAATCATCTACTTTAACATGGAAGCGGAGGTTGAGGTCCGCATCCCGATTGTTAAGTATCATAAACAGTTGTCTCCGGTGAGACACCACGTGTTTCAGCAGCTGAGATCTACATCCAGACAGAATCTTTTTTATGGGGGACACCACCTTCCCATGTCTGGAGAGCTCTCTGCTAAGAAACTCGTCGGTTATGAACGGAGGGACATTGGACAGGATGACTCTGGTGGAAGGCTGTGTCAGTGGAGTCACCTGTACAAACATTTGGTTCACCGTGATGCCCGTCTCAACGACTCGGTTCACCTTCTCCACCTGATCCAGGAAGATGACCACGGCGCTGTTCATCCGAGCGGCCGACCTCACGCTGCTGTGCCCGACCTTCTCCCCCACCGCAAGCCCAATCTCCTCCACGCTGCACGGAAAGCTGGCATTCATTTTAATGCCATGCTTTCTCGTGAGGTGGCCGAAGGTGACTCCATTTACCATGACGTCTGAAGACGCCGACCGGCGAGACACCGGCAGGAGAGAAAAGAAAAACACAAACACAACACACACTAACTATTAACTTAAAGTGAAACTACAACCAATAAACTACATTAAACTCTCATTACATTACTCTCACCAGAGAGAGAGACAGAGAGAGAGAGACAGAGAGAGAGAGACAAAGAGAGAGAGACAGAGAGAGAGAGAGAGAGAGAGAGAGAGAGAGAGAGAGAGAGAGAGAGAGAGAGAGAGAGAAGAGAGACAGAGAGAGAGAGAGAGAGAGAGAGAGAGAGAGAGAGAGAGAGAGAGAGAGAGAGAGAGACAGAGAGAGAGAGAGAGACAGAGAGAGAGAGAGAGAGAGAGAGACAAGAGAGAGAAGAGAGAGAGAGAGAGAGAGAGAGGAGAGAGAGAAGAGAGACAGAGAGAGAGAGAAAAGAGAGAGACAGAGAGAGAGAGACAGAGAGAGAGAGAGAGACAGAGAGAGAGAGAGAAGAGAGAGAGAGAGAGAGACAGAGAGAGAGACAAGAGAGAGAGAGAGAGAGCAGAGAGAGAGAGAGAGAGAGAGACAGAGAGAGACAGAGAGAGAGAGAGACAGAGAGAGACAGAGAGACAGAGAGAGAGAGAGACAGAGAGAGAGAGACAGAGAGAGAGAGAGACAGAGAGAGAGACAGAGAGAGAGAGAGAGAGAGACAGAGAGAGAGACAGAGAGAGAGAGACAGAGAGAGAGAGAGAGAGAGAGGGGGAGTCTGAAGAGAAGTCTCTTTTCTTTCTCTTTGGAGTCTTTCTGTTAAAGATCAGAGGACTTCGAGATGTAAATCTAAAGATCAACAGGACAGAGTCTCTCTGCATTTCAATCTCATGATGGAGAAAGATAAATCCACATTTCACTTTTTTAAAGGACGCGTCCGTCCACAGCTGAAGGTTTGTCCCGCCTCGTTACACGATCGCTCTCTTCGTTCTGAGTCTGGATGGACGCTGCACTCCCAGGAGACCGGTCTTCAGAGCTCCAGGATCTGACTCTGTGGGACAGTCCACATCCAGACGTGCTCAGCGTGAGTCTTTAAATCAGTTTTTTCTTTAAATCAACAAAGCAGTTTATTAATATCACTACATGTTTTATGTTACTTCTATCAGAGAGTTTAATGAACTTACATTCCAGTTATGAAGAATCAGCGTGACGTTCAAAGAGCTCCAGGTGGCGCTCTTGCTCCATGGTAAAATCTGTTTTAATTGGACAGTCAGTCAAACAGCCCACAGAGTCCCATCACATGAAACATGATCACATTATAATAACTCATGTTACAGCTCATACTGACTCATCACTCTGCTGTGCAGACCTCCGGGGCGCAGAGACTTCACTCTTACTTCCTGTGACTGACTCCAGGGGCGGGCTGAGGTCTGAAGAGTCCACTTTCAGACCTGGTCTTCAAAGTCTGAAGTCTTCTATCTGACTCACTTTAGAGGGTTCATGTTAGTCCCAGAATGTCTTAGAGGGGTCTGTTAGAAAACCATCCCTTTGATCAGGTCAACAGGAGGTTTGGTTTAGACCAATGTGAGATTCTTTGACCCATGATAGAGGGGTGTGTGGGCCTGCCCCCCTGACAGAGGACTGACAGAAGCCTCATCTGGAAGTACAAAGTGTTCTCTTTGCCACAGGATGGGCATGAGGGGTGAGGGGTGGGGGGGGGGGGCAGAGAAACTCAAAGCTTTCTCTCCCCTGTGACTTGTTGTTTCTTGAGAAGGTCAGCTCACATAGAGAAGCTCAGCAGTAGAACATCTCATATCACTGACAGAGACTCCACATGTTTTTCAGACTGTAGACTTGACTGAGATCCTCTGGTCTTCAGGTTCAGAAGAGTCTTCCATCTTCACCTTGATCTCTGGGTGTAGACGTCTCTCTGGATTTGCGTCCCTGGATTGTTCTGGTCTCCGCCAGTCGTCTTTTTTCTCTTCAGCTTCGTTTTGATGAAGCTCTGGAGCCTGACCACATACACGCTTGTGTTTTTTAAGCTGAAAGGGCCAACAGAATCTTTGATTACAGAAGTTGCAGCTGAAGGGTTTCTCCCCTCTGTGATGTGCCATGTGAATTGTCAGACAAGACTTTTGTTTAAAACATTTACCGCAGTATGAGCAACTGAAGGGTTTCTCTCCTGCATGAACTAACAAATGCTGAGTCAGGTTTCCTTTGAAGTTAAATCTTTTCCCACACTCAGAGCATCCGAAGGGTTTCTCTCCTGTGTGACATGCCATATGACCTGTCAGACAAGACTTGTAGTTGAACCCTTTCCCGCACTGAGTGCAGAGGAATGGTTTCTCTTCCCTGTGAGTTTTCATGTGTGCAGACATACTTTCTTTATGGCTAAAAATTTTACCACACTCAGAGCAGCTGTAGGGTTTCTCTCCTGCGTGAATTATCATATGTCTGGTCATGCTCCCTTTGCGTTGAAATTGTTTACCACACTCAGAGCAGCTGTAGGGTTTCTCTCCTGTGTGAATGATCATGTGTGTGGTCAGATGTCCTTTCCTTTTGAAAGTTTTACCACAATGAGAGCAGCTATGGGATTTTTTATCAGCCTTTGTTCTCTTATCTTTTTGTTTTTTCCCAGAGTTTGAACCTGACTGATGTTCTCTGGTCTCCTTCCAGTCATCACTGTCATCAGTCTCAGCTTCAGAAGAGTCTTCAATCTTGACCTCAGTCTCTGGTAGTTTATGGTTTTCTGGTTCTAAGGTCCTGGCTTTCTGTGGTGATCCACAGCCTTCTTCATCAACTCCACTATCTTCCTCTCTTTTTTCCCACATTTGGTTTTCTTGAGACTCTGAAGCCTGCTCGCCAACACATCTGTGTCCTTTTAACTGAGTACACAAAAAGAAACTCTGTCCACAAACATTGCAGTTGAAGGATTTCTCTCCTTTGTGATGAGCCATGTGAGGTGTCGGACAAGACTTCAGTTTGGATATTTTATCCAATTGAGAGCAGCTCGGGCTTTTCTCTTTAGTGTGAACGCTCATGTGGATAGTCAGATTGCCTTTGAGGTTAAATCCTTTCTCACACTCGGAGCAGCTGAAGAGTTTTTCTCCTGTGTGTTGGGCCATGTGAGCGGTCAGAGATGTCTTTTGGTTAAATTCTTTGGAACATTTTGAGCAGTTAAATAGTTTCTCTCCCGTGTGAATTCTCATGTGTATAGTTAAACTTCCTTTTTGGGTAAATCTTTTACCACACTCGGAGCAGCTGAAGGGTTTCTCTCTTGTGTGAACCAACATGTGCTGAGTCAGATTTCCTTTGAAATTGAATCTTTTCCCACACTCAGAGCAGCAGAATGCTTTCACTCCTCCATGACGCGCCATATGAGCTGTCAGACCAGACTTGTAGTTAAAGCTTTGACCACACTCAGAGCATCTGAAGGGTTTCTCTCCAGTGTGTACTCGCATGTGTATTGTCATATTTCTTTTTCGGGCAAATTTTTTACCACACTCAGAGCAGCTAAATGGTTTCTCTTCTCCATGATTTACCAAGTGATCTATCAGACAAGACTTTCTTTTGAAGCTTTTACCGCACTTAGAGCAGCTGAACGGTTTCTCTCCAGTATGGATTCTAATATGTTGGTTCAGATGCCATTTCCTCTTGAATGTTTTACCACACTGAGGGCAACTATGTGACTTCTTATCAGTCTGTGGTCTCCTATCTTTGATGTTTTTCACAGAGTTCAAATCTGACTGATTTTCATCACAGTCCTCTCCATCAGCTCCTGTTTCCATCTCTTCAGTGTGTCTGTGATGAAGCTGTGAGGACTGAGGTTTCTCTTCATCATCTTCACTCTTCACAGAGACAGGAGTGAAGGGGAACTTGATATCAGCCTCCTCCAGTCCCTCCTGACTGCTCCACAGTTCCTCCTGTTCCTCTTTAATGTGCACAGTCTCAGAGTCCTCCTGGTCCAGACTGGAGCTCCCCTCCTGCTGCTCATGAGGATCTTCTTCACCCACCGACAGCTGCTGGACGTCTGCAGGAAACACTGAAGACACAAAGACACATGGAGGGAAGCTGTGACTTTATTTAAGACTTGATATTCTGTTTTCAAAAGTCACATTCATGAATCAAACAATCCACTGATTACTTCTTGTTCTTAAAGCACAACATGATAAAAGAAGTTCTTCAGGGTTTCAGTGTGTACGCTTCCTTTGTTTCAGACGCTGCCTCGTCTTTTCTCCGCTCACTCTCATCCCGTCTGCATCACGCAGGTATCAGCTGGTGTGTGTGTGTGTGTGTGTGTGTGTGTGTGTGTGTGTGTGTGTGTGTGTTAGATGTTTTTACAGAGACAGTAAACACAGCTGTCTGTAGATGAACTGGTGTTCTTCATGTAAACATTTATTTGTCCTGTTTGTGACTTCAGTCAGCTGCTCTCAGGTTTTCAAAGACTTTCTAAAAACAAACAGGAAGTTCAGGTTGATCTCACAGCTTCTAGTTTTACTGTACGGATGTGTTGGAGAGGACTTTAAGAAGTCTAAAGATGAGAAACTAAAGAAGGTTTGTGAGTGCAGTAAAAAGAGAGAAATGAACGATGTGTGAGGAAGAGCTGAAGGTGAAGAAGTCTTCATCATCACACTCCACTGAATCCAAACAGGGGGATCAGAGACACCTGGACACAGACCCACGAGGACACGGTGGATGTTATCATCCCACACCACATCATATTTTCTTCATGTTCTTCATTAGGATGTGCTAACTGTTAGCTAGCCGCGGCTAACAGCGGCTAACGACTTAGCTCTGTGCTACACAGGAAACTAAAGAACACTGACCTGCTGGTTGAGTCTTCATGTCACCTGCCAGGTGTCCTTCGTGTCGGTGGAGCTGCTTTTGGTTCCGGGAGGTCGTTGTTAGTCCTGACACATCTTTGTGTGTCTGCATAACGTCCTCGTGTCCCGGATGTAGAGATGGAGCCCAGTCTGGATCAGTCTCCATCGTGGACAGCAACACACCTTCTCCTCCACGTGGGGAACACGTGCCTCGTTGTCCCGTCGTGGGACTTCTTAAAACAACCAATTCACAAACACGAGGAGCCATTTCACCAACAAGAGGAAAGTGTCCGGATGTAAACATGAGCTTCAAATGGCGCGTAGACCCACAATGCATTGTGGTCAGCGTAGGCACTACGTCACCAGACAAAGACCAATAGCATGCTAAGCTAACTCGAGTAGCTCTGTGGTCCATTCAGAGGGTCGTTCACACGTACGGAGGTCTGGAGGGTCATTATTAATGCTGCTGCTGCTCTCTCGCTTTACAAACTCACCTTCATGTGCCGCGCCGCCGCCACGTAAACTCCAGATCGTCGGTAACTAGTGCGCATGCGCAAGAGAAATGGTTCATGAATGGACCAATGAGCACACAGTGTGCAGGTAACACAGTTTATTATTTCAGATCCAAACAGAAACCTCTGCTGTTTCAAATCCTGCAGGTCACGAGGAGGACTCTGCGGGACCAGCACAGTTCTCTGTTGGGGTCGTTTGTCAGACTGGCTCAGAGAAGTCTGGATCTGCTGAGGAGGAGAGTGAGGGAGGGTTTCTTTGTGTGTATATTAATGAACAGCTGTCACAATGTCAGATTACTTCAGAAGTGTTAGTTTCCATCAGGTAACAGAGTGTTGAGCTTTCTCATTCACATACATATACATGATGTGATGTGTAGTTTGACTTACAGTGTTCATATGTTTATGTTTATACTTTATTTTGTATGCACTTGAAGAACAGTGTACATGTTGAGATCTTATTTTGTTATTCATGACGTGACTTCCTGTTGTGATGCGTTATGTTTTGAAGAGAGAGCGGGAGATTGGTTGTTGTGTTCCATGGCTGCTGATGAAATGCTGTTCCAGTTAGCTGTGAAGAAGGAATGAATAAAAGGTGACGTGACACTAAAGTGGGATTCTTGGTAACATGGCTGACGAAGCAGCCGAGCCACCAGTTGAAGCAGTCAACCCAACATAGAGGTTAAAGGTTAAAGGTTAAAGGTTAAGGTCACAGACTTGTTTGAGGTGTGTTTGAAGGTTGCATATGTTTGAGTCTCTTATAGTGAGTGGGAGAATATTCTAATATTTAGCTCCTTTGACTGACAGAACAGTTTGAATGTAGTGCGTCTGTGTGGACCTCACAGTCTCCTCGGGCTGGGGCCCTGGTGCCGATCCCACTGGCAGACTTCAGCTTTATAAAGTCCTTCAAAGGAGGAGGAGCAAGTCCGTGCAACATTTTATATATAAAACATTTTTAAAATGAACAAAATTATGAAAATTTAGTAAATGATGTTTATCTAAACCGTGCAATGGTGAAACAAAAATGGCTTTTTTGTCTAAGAGTTTTATGGCTTTTTAAAAAGAGATTGTATTGGTTTAAGTGCAGGAAGTGACCATGTGGTTATACAGTATTCAATATGTGAAAAAATCCACGAGTGTAAAAATTCGAGCAGCATTTATATTCATGAAGGATCTTACCTGTCTAAAATGTTTATATTAAAATTGACCGTCTTTGTTAATTGTTTGATGTGTTTTTTAAATGTTAATGTTGGGTCCAATGTTAGGCCTAAATATTTCAACTCATTAGCTAGACTAAGCTCTACACCTTCCAGGTAAACGGCGGACTGCTGAAGGCTGGTTGGCTGTTTAGTGAACATCATGCAGACCGTTTTCTTTGGTTTAATTGAAGACATGAATCTTTGCACTTGGCTCATGGCTGTTGAGTGTTGAGTATTTCTTCCCTGTGTAAAAACAACGGCATCGTCAGCATACATTGTAAATCTCCAGGAGTGCAGGACACTTACTGGTTTTTTGAACTGTTGTTTTGAATTCTTTTGGTGTTTTTTCAGGTTCTGTTTTTATCAGTTACAGAAAAGAAACTCAATTTAAGACTGTCTGGATTTTACCAAAAACCAAGAAAACACATTGAAGCCGTTATTTTTATAATGTGAATTTTTATTCTCTCACGTTTATTAATTAATTCATATGTTTAAAATCTTCTTTACTCTCCTTTAAAAACTGTTGGAGAGCTTTGGGACGTTCTTAACATGGCGGGTCTACATACTTCCAGTTCGGCTGAGAACTGAAGAAATGTGGAGACAAACCAATGGCAGAGTGAAGTCCAGTAGTTATCGTCATTGTAGCCTGTCCAATTGTTGGAGATGGATCTTTTCGATAGGTAAGGCTGTATCCTGTGCTGGGACATTGAAGAAGTCCAAGATTTCGACTGCGATGTTTAGAAACTCAAAGCCTCCCCCTTCTTGCAGCTTTGGAAACACCTCCATCAGTTTGTTTGTTACAACCATGGGCTCGATGTCATTTCCTGTAAATATACATAATGCACATTAACTCAAACACCAAAAGCTAAGCTCTGATAACAAATACACAGCAAGAAAATCACGTCATTAAAGTTTGAGTCTAACATGTAAAATAGGTGACACAAATGGTGATAAAATGAAATTAAAAATACAACTCCTACTAAAGTCAGGACTCAGTGCTTTGTTTCTTGTTTCAGACGCACCTGAGAAGATCACCTCTGTTCTCCAAGTCCTGAAGCAAGAAGCTTTCAGCTCAACGCTTGGAACTTTATCAGCCTTGTTGTCAGCCAAATTGTTGTTGTTGTTGTTGTTGTTGTTGTTGTTGTTGTTGTTGTGTTGTTGTTGTGTTGTATGGAACAAACAGCCTTGCTACTTCGGCTAACACAGAGAAAATGTTCCAGCTCCCATGATCGCCACTCAGCTAAAACATCCTTCAGTCCTGATGAATGTAAAGCAGAAAGAAGTGATAAAAGTCCAACTTCAGGGCTGCTGACATGCTAACACCATTCTGCCGACTAGCTAGCTTCGTTTAGAAGCACATCTGGTTACCTACCTTGAACAGGTGTACGTGGTGTAGCGACAGGTATCTGCTGTACCTGTGCTCCGGAGAGCTTTACACTTTGCACCAATGGTGAGCTGATTGATCCAAAACGAATATACGGATGAACACTGCCACCTAACGTATCGGAGTGCATTCACTGCTTCAATCCATTATCTGGGATCGATCTGTCATGACTTGCTTTGCTGAGTAACCAATCAGATGTTAGAAACTTTGACGAGCAGCAGTGACAGATGAAATGATTTCATGATGCACTGCTGGTGTAGGGACCATGAAATGATAAAGTAATTAAATAAATAGTAAAATAATTAAATAAATAGTAAAATAATTAAATGTGGTTTTACATTAAATGAATTAACATTTTAAATAATTAATGACACATTTTAAATAATTATTTAATTATTTAATAACACATGCATTTAATTAATTATATAATTATATATTTATTTATATATTTGTTGATTTATTTCCAATATTAAATAATTGATGACACATTTAATGATTTAATTAATTATATATTTATATATTTCTTTTTGGCACTTTTTAGTCCGAACGTAATATTTACAGTTTATGAGGCGAGCGGGCAGAACGATGGGTTTGAAAATGAAAAGCCAAAGACCTTTTCGTTTTCATTTGAATGATGTCATAAAATATGCAGACATAGAGAGTAAAAGTAAAATGCAAACTGGATGACTGAATATTCATTTTAAATATAGGTCAAATAATGCTCCTATATTCTGAAAGTTAATGCATTTGAATTTTTAAATTAGCTTTTTCATTTGAATTTTGATCACTGATCGCTTCCATAAAACTGTTCCTGAAAGCAGAGGATGTTTGTGGCTGGGGGAGGGGGGGTAGTTGTAAATGGTTGGTTTGGATCAGTCTATTTCCTGGAGCATGTTGGTTTGATACAGAACTAAAGGGAGAAATGAGTTTGGACATCATTTCTTTGTACTGATTTAGTAAACAGGAAACGATCAATCAGTGTGTTCAGCTGCTGTTACACTTTAGGATTTGTTGGTGTGGCGGCTCAGAATGAAGAATACCGCACAGAGACTAAGTGAGCCTGAACCCGGGACTTGTTCATATCCAAATCAAAGTCAAAGTCCAGATAAGTTTGTTGATTTATTTAACTACAAAGTGAGAAATAATTATAAACAAAAGTCCAAAAGATGATCAAAAGTCAACAGAAAATATTCAAACCACGCCCCCTCTTTGTCCCGCCTCCTGCTTCAATAACGCGCAGGTCAAAATAATGACGATGATGTCACTGAACATCTGTTTATTCATGACGATGATGTCACTGAACATCTGTTTATTCATGACGATGATGTCACTGAACATCTGTTTATTCATGACGATGATGTCACTGAACATCTGTTTATTCATGACGATGATGTCACTGAACATCTGTTTATTCATGACGATGATGTCACTGAACATCTGTTTATTCATGACGATGATGTCACTGAACATCTCCAAAAACACACAAGAAGTTTTTTTAAATACTTTATTTACATAATAAAGCTAAAGAGGCAAAGTTGTACAGCCAATCAAAAACACACATTCACAATGAGCCAGGACAGTTACTGAAGCTCAGCTCTCCTTTTTCAGTCACATTATCTCCTCACAGCTCCAGCTCCATGTTCCCCGTGGTCCTGTGGAAACTGAACTCCAGCCGTAGTCTGGCTTTAATGTTGCACCTCAAGGTCTCTACCTTGTCTCGTCTAGTCCGATAAATCGTTCACTTTGCCTCTCCAATTAAAAAGTTTAAAAGTTGAGTCTTAGGGGCGCTGGTGGCTCAGTGGTTAGTGGGTGCGTCCCACAGGAAGCACATTTAAAATAACTGGATTAATAACAGATAAAAACGCATTAGCAGCAGTAGCACCGTGTGGAATCCTCCACTGAAGGTCACCAGTTTGGTTTTTCAAGGTGGTTTGTCCAGAGTCCTCCACTGAGGGGCCGGCCCCCCCCCCCGAGTCTGTCGGTCCAGCCTGAGACAGCTCGATCAGCCAGGTTCTTCTGGTTCATGTTTTTGTAAAGAGTCTTTTGGTCCACGCTGTGCAGATCTAATGTTTCATTGTCTCTCACAGTCAGGAGGGGACCACGGCGCTCTGTGAACCCCGGGCTGAGGTCAGGGAACACGTCTGTGGGGTCAGGTGAGAAGAATAATCTATACTTTAAATTCATTTTTACACTTGCACTAATGGAGAGGTCTCAGAGTGGGGGGGCCCACAGCGAGCGCTCCAGAGCAGTTTTGGGGTTCAGTGCCTTGCTCAAGGGCACCCCTAACCCTAACCCAGTGCTCAGGAAGTGGACTGACACCTCTGAAGTCCCTACAGACTCAACTACTGCCGCCCACAAAACCCTGCGCTGCCCGGGAATCTTACATGAAACCACTACACCAGCGGCGCAGCTTGAACCCCTCCCTCACTCTCCTCCTCAGCAGATCCAGACTTCTCTGAGCCAGTCTGACAGAACCGACCCCCAACAGAGAACTGTGCTGGTCCCGCAGAGTCCTCCTCGTGGACCTGCAGGATTTGAAACAGCAGAGGTTTCTGTTTGGATCTGAAATAATAAACTGTGTTTCTACCTGCACACAGTGTGTGCTCATTGGTCCATTCATGAAGCCATTTCTCTTGCGCATGCGCACTAGTTACCGACGACTCTGGAGTTACGTGGCGGCGGCGGCGGCACATGAAAGGTGAGTTTGTAAAGCGAGAGAGCAGCAGCAGCATTAATAATGACCCTCCAGAGCCTCCGTACGTGTGAACGACCCTCTGAATGGACCACAGAGCTACTCGAGTTAGCTTAGCATGCTATTGGTCTTTGTCTGGTGACGTAGTGCCTACGCTGACCACAATGCATTGTGGGTCTACGCGCCATTTGAAGCTCAGTGTTTACATCCGGACACTTTCCTCTTGTTGGTGAAATGGCTCCTCGTGTTTGTGATTGGTTGTTTTAAGAAGTCCCACGACGGGACAACGAGGCACGTGTTCCCCACGTGGAGGAGAAGGTGTGTTTGCTGTCCACGATGGAGACTGATCCAGACTGGGCTCCATCTCTACATCCGGGACACGAGGACGTTATGCAGACACACAAAGATGTGTCAGGACTAACAACGACCTCCCGGAACCAAAAGCAGCTCCACCGACACGAAGGACACCTGGCAGGTGACATGAAGACTCAACCAGCAGGTCAGTGTTCTTTAGTTTCCTGTGTAGCACAGAGCTAAGTCGTTAGCCGCTGTTAGCCGCGGCTAGCTAACAGTTAGCACATCCTAATGAAGAACATGAAGAGAAATATTGATGTGGTGTGGATGATAACATCCACCGTGTCCTCGTGGGTCTGTGTCCAGGTGTCTCTGACCCCATCGTTGATTTCAAGGACTTTTAGAATCCACTTCCTGTTTGGATTCCAGTGGAGTGTGATGATGAAGACTTCTTCACCTGTCAGCTTTTCCTCACACATCGTTCACTTTCTCTCTTTTTACTGCACTCACAAACCTTCTTTAGTTTCTCATCTTTAGACTTCTTAAAGTCCTCTCCAACACATCCGTACAGTAAAACTAGAAGCTGTGAGATCAACCTGAACTTCCTGTTTGATTTAGAAAGTCTTTGAAAACCTGAGAGCAGCTGACTGAAGTCACAAACAGGACAAATAAATGTTTACATGAAGAACACCAGTTCATCTACAGACAGCTGTGTTTACTGTCTCTGTAAAAACATCTAACACACACACACACACACACACACACACACACACACCAGCTGATACCTGCGTGATGCAGACGGGATGAGAGTGAGCGGAGAAAAGACGAGCAGCGTCTGAAACAAAGGAAGCGTACACACTGAAACCCTGAAGAACTTCTTTTATCATGTTGTGCTTTAAGAACAAGAAGTAATCAGTGGATTGTTTGATTCATGAATGTGACTTTTGAAAACAGAATATCAAGTCTTAAATAAAGTCACAGCTTCCCTCCATGTGTCTTTGTGTCTTCAGTGTTTCCTGCAGACGTCCAGCAGCTGTCGGTGGGTGAAGAAGATCCTCATGAGCAGCAGGAGGGGAGCTCCAGTCTGGACCAGGAAGACTCTGAGACTGTGCACATTAAAGAGGAACAGGAGGAACTGTGGAGCAGTCAGGAGGAACTGGAGGAGGCTGATATCAAGTTCCCCTTCACTCCTGTCTCTGTGAAGAGTGAAGATGATGAAGAGAAACCTCAGTCCTCACAGCTTCATCACAGACACACTGAAGAGATGGAAACAGGAGCTGATGGAGAGGACTGTGGAGGACCAGAACCAGAGAGGGACTCAGATCCAGAGAGACGTTTATATCCAGAGATCGAGGTGAAGATTGAAGACTCTTCTGACACTGAGACTGAAGGTGGCGATGATTGGAAAGAGACCAGAGAACATCAGTCAGGTTTAAAGTCTGTGGAAAAGATTAAAGATAAGAGACCACAGACTGTTAAGAAAGCTCTCAGCTGCTCTGAGTGTGGTAAAACATTCAAAAGGAAAGGACATCTGAGCACACACATGATCACTCACACAGGAGAGAAACTGTTCAGCTGCTCCGTTTGTGGTAAAAAATTTGGCCACCAAAGAAGTATAATCAGACATATGATAAATCACTCAACAGAGAAACCGTTCAGCTGCTCTGAGTGTGGTAAAGAATTTAGTCAAAAAGATTGTCTGACAAGCCATCTGATGATTCATTCCCAAGTGAAACCATTCAGCTGTGCTGAGTGTGGGAAGGGATTTAACTTCAGGTCAGGACTGAGAATGCATATGGCAAATCACAGAGGTCATCTGTTCAGCTGCTCTGAATGTGGGAAGGGATTCAACCAGAGGAGACATCTGAGAGAACATGTGAGGATTCACAGTGGAGAGAAACCATTCAGCTGCTCTCAGTGTGGTAAAGGTTTTACTCAACAAGGTTCACTGACAGAACATATGAGGATTCACACAGGAGAGAAACCCTTCAGCTGCTCTGAATGTGGTAAGAGCTTTACCCGAAATGGCAATCTGATGGCGCATATGAAAACCCACACAGGAGAGAAACCATTCAGCTGCTCTGAGTGTGGAAAGACATTTAACCTGAAAGGAAACATGACCACACACATGAAAACCCACTCGGGAGGGAAAGCCTTCAGCTGCTCTGAGTGCGGCAAAACATTTAGTAATAAAAGATATCTCACCAGACACCTGAACACTCACACCTCAGGACAGTGAACGTGGTCAGAGCTTCACCCGACAGAACAGACGAGAGAAACTCTTCAGCTGCTCTGAGGGAGGTAAAAGATTTACCCAAAGATGTAGTCTGTCCCAACACGT